CTAATGCCAGTCGTGCTRGGATGTTGGAGCCCTGGGAACCGCGCAGGCATCCTCGGCCCCTGCACTGCAGAGCCCTCCATCTCCTGCCCCTGCTCTGCCTCTCTTGGCTCAGGCTGGAATCCTGGTCCCTGCCTGGGGTTTGGGTCCCTTMTCCTGTTTCACCAGCCTGCTCCGCCTGGGGCCTAGCCGGGCTTCTGGCCTGGAGGAGACTGTCAGGGGAGAGGCTCCAAGAACTTGAACCTGAGAAAGCTGGACTGGAACAAGAGCAGGGGAGAAGAGCTAGATGGGGTTGGGTCAGGCATGGTATGAAGATGGGGCTTCCCACCCCCGTTCTGGCATGTACTGCCCCTTCTCCCTGGAACGTTCCTCCCCACCTCCTTTAGCATTCCACCTGGATTCTGGAGGCCTGGGTTTAGCTATCTATCACTCCTTTCAGGAGCCCTTGCTCTGCCCTCCTATGCCCAGGTCTGCATCTTTGCAGCCCTCATGGAGTGCTAATTGTCTGTTCCTGACTGTAACCCCCAGGCACCTGAGAGCTCTGAGTGCAGAGATTTTCTTATTGATCTTTGCATCTTAGAAAGTAGAATCATGCCTGGCACATGTTAGATTCTCACGACATAAACATTGATTGGATGGATGAGTGAACAGGCTCAGGATGGGTGGAAGGATGGGGGATGGGAGAATAGACAAGATGGGTGAATGGGAGTTCTGAGAGGTGCTTGAGGTAGAACGCTAGTTTCCATCACTGTTTGGGGCCATCTTTCTTCCATGAGGACGTTCCTTGCCAGTCCTGTTGGAGACTCTTCCCTGATATAAATCCTCCAGTCACTGTCCACTGGGCACCTCCCTCCTAGCTTCCTGTCCTTCCTGAGAAGTGTGTGAGGGGATTGGGAGGTGGAGTGCTGAGCCACAATCTTGGCTTGGGCTTTGTGATTCATGGTAAGTGACTTGTTCTTTCTGGGACTTGAATGCCACACTTAGAAAATCAGGAACTCTGTATAAGATGTCCCCTTGAATTCCAAAGATCCAATTTTGGTGTAATGTTTTAAAATGCTTCACAGATATAGAATGTATTTTATATTGTTATCATACTCACACACCCACAAAATCAAATGGTGTCTAATAAAGTTTAATTCTATTATACTTTGTATTTAAAAACTATGCTCAYTTCACACACCGTGTCTTTGAAATAAATCATCTTGGAATATTCAGTTGCTGCTTTACAGCATGCAACAGTCTTGCTAGGGAGCTCCTACTCCAGCATCCAGATCTCCCGACCTCAGAAGTGGCCAGGAACGACCTGGATACTTGTACATAACTGGATGGGAATGAAAGCCATTAAGTCCTCTTGACAGCCCTGTCCCCATTCTATTTTTTTAAAATTTTTTTCTGGTACTGAATCCAGGGGTACTCTAGCTCTGAGCTATATCCCAGTCCTTTTATTTATTTTATTTTTTTTTTGAGACCAGGGTCTGGCTAAGTTGTGCAGGCTGGCCTTGAACTTGTGATCCTCCTGCTTCTACCTGCCTCATTTGCTCACAGTGTGCGGCTTTTTTTTTTTTTTTTTTAACATATCTTGCTTTGGGAAAAGCCACACAATAGAACTGACAGAACTGCAGACGTTAATCACTGACGGCACTCCCAGGCTGTTACTCAGAAGGCTAATTCTGGAGCTGGTAGAGCTAGCTTGTACGTTTGCTAGCACTGCCCTGGGCAGATGATGCCTGTGTGCTGCCCTCCAGGGAACTAGTGGAGCTGGGAAGACAAGACAAGCAAACAGGTGCAGGGAAATGCTGCAGATGCTGACTGATGCAAGTCTGGATTTTTTTCAGAGAGCAAATGCAGTTAGAGGTGATTATGAAAAGACTGGAAGGATGGTATCAGGCCTCCTCCACCTGATAAATGTGGTGGTGGTGGTGGTGGGGAGACCTGAGTGGATTAAGCTGCCTTCCTTAGGGGTGGGTCCCTCCTCACAGATTAGACAAGCACTTAGCAGACTTCCACGTGCACAGGGATCAACTGCAAGGTGTGCCAGAGGGCATGGCACAGCCATGGTGGGGGAGAAAGCAGAGGGAGGGAGCCCTCACAGTGTGAGCATCAGTTCAGGTGAGGCTGGGTGCTTGCATTATGGCTGACACAGATGACACTTGGAATGTCTGCTGGAGGCTCTGTGCCCTGCATGGCCCCGCCCCCCACAAACTGCGCTTCTATGGCAACAATCAAGTCTCTTTCCATCCTTGACCAGGCCCAGGAAATCTTGATAGAGCAGCCTTTCAGAGGCTGTCTCCTCTTCCTAGGAAATGGGAGTAATCCTGGCCTTCTCTCCTGGGACCAACCTGGAGGTTGTGCATTTACTAAGATATTTCCTCTTCCACCCACCTGGGCCTGTAAGTCCTATCTCCAATCTTATCCTGACTGCAGCAAAGTGGAACTGGACATAGAAGGGGGCGGTGCAGAGGGACCAGGTTTCCTCAAGATGGGGCAACCGTCAGGACTGAGGTGAAGGGGAGACTGCAACCCCTCCGTGGGGTAGGACTGAACCCTCTCCGACTACCTTCTGTAAGCCCAGAGGGCAGCTGTCCTTTCTAGTTGTTGCATAAAGACTATGCTTCATTCTGAGATCACTTCTTTTTTTAAAAAAAATTATTTCCTTTCTTCCATGAAACAGCCAGCAATTGTTTGTGCTGATTTATAAGGAGAAATTAAGGAGCTGGAGTCCCCAGTTCTACCAGATGCTGCCTGAAGTCCAAGCACCCAGGAACTGATCCTAGGACTTCTATGGGCTCCAGTGTGCTTGGCCCTACCATCTGGCCCTATCTCCCTGGGGACACTGACCTGCCTTTCTTGGCCTGCCCCTTCTGAAGATCCTTCCTTCACCACTCAAGACACACCTGTGATCAGACTGAGTGTCTCCCTGTGAACGTTTAAACATGTTAAGCTTTAAAAAGAACAGTTCAGGTTTTCAGGTCTGAATGTTCACAGACACTAAGGTTTCATTTGAAGTTCACTAATCTTTGTTTAATCTCCCCCAAAGTCTTGCACGGACAGTCAGTTCTTTAATGTCACCCTCTGGCCTGCCTTCCCTACAGGGCACTGTCCCACCTATCTGGGGCAGATGCAATCCCAGCTCCCACCCTGCTGCTGCCTTAGATGGGGAGGTGACATAGGCTGGGACCCCCACCTTGGGGGTGGGGGAGAAAAAGTCCCTTAAAATGAGAAAAGCTCATGTTTACGGATGTGTGGCTTGACCAGGGAAGCTGCCCCTGGTCAAGGGGTTTGAGGCCGACGGTGGCCCAGCTCTCCTTGGGAATGASTGGCACGCTGGGGGAAAGGCAATTAAAACGCAACAATCAAACCAACCTTTAAATAGTAACTTTTAAAAATATAAAAACAGCTCATTACAATGACTTTTCATTTTCTTTTTTTTTTCTTCAGGAATAACTTTCTTCTACCCTCACCCTCCCTCCGGGCTAGAGCCTTAACAAGAGGTGGCAGATGAACATCTGAGACTCAGGGAGAGAGACACAGACTCCAGACGCCCCACGTCCCCATCTCAGACAGATACAGGGTGCTGTGCCGGCTCCAAGCCACGACCTCCACGTCACGTCCGGAAGCTGCTCAGCCGCAGGAGCACCTGAAGACGGGCGGTTTTCACAGAAGCCCCTCCTCCTCCTCCTCACCAGACCAACTCACACATTATAAAATAATCCATAAAAATGCAGTATAAAAATTATCTTCCATATGCTACATCCATGGAGAGCCCACCCCCAGGACTCACACTGCCTTTAGCTTCTTCTTTTTTTTTAAAGGAAAAAAAAAAAAAAAAAAAGACCAAAACCCAACATCCTAATACCTCAGAACATTTGGTACCAAAGCTTGGTAACCAACCGCAGGAGACCATATTCTACCTGGAACCTGTGTGGGCCACAAGAGGCTGAGAGCTGTTAGGAATCACCACAGTGCACCAGGACGTCTCCCTGCCCCCGGCCCTCTCTGCCCTGCCCAGGAAGGGAAGAGGGCAAGTCACCGGCTCAGACTTTATAACCCTGTAGGTTAATTTGCTTGTCCCCTCTAGGGAGAGAGGAAGGGGCTGAAGGCAGGAAGGGGGAGAAGCCATTTTATAAAAGGACATCACTTCTAATTCTTTTTATTCAAATTAAAAAAAAAAAAAAAAGCACCCACATCCATTGCTGTTTTTCTCTGGTAGCTCCCTGAGCTGAGTTGCTATGCTTCCCTCGACCGTGGTGTCATTTCCAGGCTGTGTCCATCCATCCATCCRGAAGATTAAGAAAGGCTGGAGAGGGAGTTCCTCTGAACCTCCATTTCTCATCACAATGACCCAGTGTGCACCAAAGAGAAAGAGGAGAAGGAGAGAAAGATGGAGACAGAGGCCTGAGAGAGAGGGAGACTCGAGACAGGGCAAGAGGCAGACAGAGCGGAGGAAACCCAGCTGTCCCCTATGGACATCAACCCAGGTGGGCCAGGTCTCAGCACTGTCCTTCAGTCCGTCTGTCCATCTGGCACTCCCTCAAGGCTTGCCTAGGGTGCCAAACCTGCATGAGGCGTGTTCACCTGGTGTTGGGTGCCCCGTGGCCAGTCTGCTTGGCCGCTGCAGGTCCTTCCCCGATCCCAGGACTCTCCTCCCTATTCCAACCCCTTCTTCCTGTTACTCCCTCCCTGTCCCTTTCCCTGATGGGAACTTCTGTTTAAAAAACAAACAAAAACAAAAACAAAAAGCCACCACCACGAGTGGATCACAAATACAGCAGGCGAAATACACGGCGAGCTCCACTGGGCAGGGGCTTCCTCCCCCACTGACCAGTCCACCACAGGAGTCTGTTATTTACAGTTTTCACAAATCTTGTGCACTGCACAATCAGGAACGAGATCCCCCTCCCCAGCACAACAATGTGGTCCACTCCATTGTCCCCCACCCAAGCAGAGAGGGGACAGGTCAAAAGAATGGGGAGGAAGAGACAGAGATTCATGAGGGTGTCTGTGGGGAACTGGAGCCACAAGCCTCCAAATAAATCTATTTGTAGCATCTGCCAGCATTGTTAAGGGGGAGGAGGAGAAGAGAATCCATCCGAGTCTGTGAGACACATCAATCCATGCCCAGGAGTCCGGGCCATGGCGGGCACGTGCCCTCTCAGCCCGCTGGAGCACAGCCCGGAGCGCGGCTGCTCACGGCCCCTCCTCCGCCATCCTCAGGGGCCTCGACTGGGGTCTCCCTGTCAGAGCCGAGATGGTTTCTCCCAGAGTTGGACAGCCCTGTTAGAGTCCTTGTTTAGTAGATGACCTCATAAACTGTGGCCTTCTTGTCACCAGAGCCTGTTACAATATATTTGTCATCCGCTGAAATGTCACAACTCAAGACAGACGAGGATTCTTTAGACTGGAGGAGGGAGAAGCAGGAAGGCGTGGGGTGTGGGGAGAAAAAAAGACAGGAATTCATTTGGAGCCCTTCAGACCATTTCAACGCTCTCTGCATGAAATCGCCCCGCTGCACTGTCTCAGCTCCCACCCCGAGCCCAGCAGAGGGTGGGTCTGGAGGCGTGTGCAGCTAGGGGGCCTCCCACCCGCCTTGCCACTAGGAAAAGCTCATTAACAGCTCCCACTGGACTTTCAGAATATGTTCTAAGGACGGAAACAGGACAGAGGTGAGCGCCTCTTCAGAGTTCAGACGGGACGCTCCCTCTGAGACTTTCTGAGCTGGAGCAGACGTCAGCCTGCCAGACCCTCAGCCCCACAGGCCAAGAGAAGGACTGGTACCCAGACTTTGAAGCACTCAATTTAACTAGAGACTCCGAAAGGGACATGTGTGACACATGGGATACCAGACATTTCAGCCAAGGGTCAGGAAGTGAGTGGCTTGGTGAGGAAGCTCTAGATCCCAAAGAGCCCTCTGCTTAGAAGCCCTCATCTTCAGGAGTCAGAAGCCATTAGCAACAAAATATGTGTCCCTGTGGTCCCTAAGCCTTTTCCTCTGCAAAACCCAACCTGGGTGCCTATCAGGTAGGAGCAGGAAAAGGGCCAGGAAGGTCTGCTCCTAGCTCCATGCTCTTCCTGTTCTGCCTCCTGCCATTCTCGCCTCCCGCACAGTGGGCACAGTGGTAGTGGATCCTGACTCAGGTCAGATGGAGAGGACGTGTAGGTGGGCATACCTGGAAGATGCTGGCTCCGTAAGGTGTCCTCCAGGCATTGAGAAGGTTATCTTTCCCCGTGCTCACGAACCACTTGCCTGCAGGGAGGAGCCAAAGGAATAGTTAGGATATGGCTTGTTGCCCTCTAAAGCAAGAGCTGCCCCAACATGGCTGGCTACCATGGAAACACCCCAAGGACCGCTAACCAGAGCTTAGTGTGACTCTCCACTCAGGAGTAGCATTTTGCAAATGAACACATGGCAACCCAAAGAACATCTCTCTCTGCCACCTGCAGGAATAGGGGGCTGGGATGGACAGGAAAAGGTAGGATTTGAGGGTAACTGTAATTTTTACACTTCTCCATTGAAAGCACTAAGGCCAACTGGCCCTCCTAAATTTACTACTGGAAGGTGGCAGAAAGTATTGGAAGGAGCAAAGCCCCAACAAACTGGAGACCCAGACGACCTCCTCCAGGTGGGCACATGACCACGGATCCACACTAATACACTAATGCTCCCCCCAAAGCTATGTGGCAGGCACCATGCTCTCTTCTGCCTCAGAGAACCTCATTGAGGTTTACAGCAGGTGAGGTGTGCCCTTGGTCTGTTGGCTTGTGGGGGGGCGGTGGTGGGGGTGGTGTGTGGGGGGGCTACCAGATGGCAAGCCTATGGACGTAGCCACCGGCCACGGGGAGGAGCTACCTGGACTGCTTCATGTCTATTCCTTTGTCCCAGGCTGCTGAGGACAAGTTATATGGCCTTGTCCTGAGAGCTCAGTGCCTCTGAGGAACAGGATGGAGGACAAGATCCCCAAAGGGTGTTGAAGGGACACCAACCCAGGCTGAGCTCTTTCTGTAAGTTCTGGACCACTCAGCACACATGGCTGGGCCAGGATGCCAGCCCTCCCTCAAGCCCCGTCAGGCCGGGACACAGGCTCACCACAGTAGGCAAACTTGAGGGACAGCACGCAGCTCTCGTGCAGGTGCAGCTGGTACTTGTCGGGCTTGGTGTGGTGCAACACCTCCACGTTGCTGCTCTCCATGCCCACAGCCAGCCACTCCCCAGTGGGGCAGTAACCTAGTGAGAAGATCTGCAGGGGCATACACAGGTCAGCACCCTCTCCCTCCAAGGAGGGGGCACTTCCCCAAGGCCCTGCTCAGGTACCCAGGGCCAGGCTCCCCACCCACCCCCGGCCATTCACAGACCAAGCCAAATGACCACCTGCCCACTGACCCAAGGGGATGGGATGTCATTTTATCTAAAGATAAAAAAGCCAGGTTTAGAGAGGAGGCAGTGGAACCCGGGTTCAAACTCAGAGGGGCACAGACACTTCATGTCCAAGGACATCCTCTGCCCCTGAGACTTTGGTCTCTCCTTAAGATAAACATGAATAAATAAAAGACTAAAGTACTAAATATTCAGGGTCAAAATATTAAAACAAGTAATAAAATAACAACAAACAGCAATGCCTAGCACTTACTGATGCTGTCTATGAGCCAGGCTGGTGGCCCTGGCTTTAAGGAGCATGCCAGGAGTCACACTAGGCCTTGCAGGGAACAACTATTATTTGTACCCCATGAATTCCTCGAGGAAACCGGGGTCAGAGTGCTTAACAGGAGTGGAGCTGGGAGCCAAATCCCCAGGCGGGTCAAGTGTGTCTAGGTCCAGGGTCTTGTCCACTCTGTTTCATTGCTGTTTCCTTCAGAAAGCCTTCCCACATGGCCCAGGGTGGTCCCAAGTCCCTTGGCAATGGTGACCCTATGAGGGTCCTTTGTCCCCTGAGCCAGGCACTGGGGCCCTGGAGGGGAAGGGAGCTCACCTGGGAGGTGAAGTCATGCTGCTGCAGCTGCCGGCCCTCCCGCAGATCCCAGGAGCGTACGGTGTTGTCCAGGCCCCCAGTCCACAGCTTGGTGCCATCGTGGGAGATGTCTATGCAGCTGGCCCCATCTGTATGGCCCTGGAACTGCCTATGAAAGCCAAGCAGGGAGGAAGCATGAGCCCCAGGCAATCCCCGACTGGTGSCCATCCAGGGAGTCAGCCAGTTCTTCCTGTGAGCCAGCAGAGGAGGAAACTGAGGCTCAAAGGGGCTGCAACACGTGGYGTGATCCCTTGGTGAGCCAGAAGCCGAGCTGGCCAGGGCCCCCATCTCACTCAGAGGCCTTGCCCAGGGCCAGGTCCTCTGTAAAAGAGAGGCAGCCAGAGGACCTGGCACAGGATCCTGAGATTGGTTCCCTCCAGGTGGGTCCTTCAGTGAGCCCACCCTACTCTGGAGGTGGTGGGACTGGAGGTCCAAAGTCCAAGAAGGCAGAAAGGCCCTGGAGAATTCTGTGAGGCCCTTCACAGAGAGAAGGTAAGCCCCCTGTCTAGGACACAGCTCCTGGGCTTGCACTCTGCATGTCTTGGGCTGTCTTGACCCACTCTCCTTGACCTTTGTGGAATACAGGCTGAGGCCACAAACGTGCCAAACAACCATGAGGAATACAGGCAGCTGGTGGGTACTGAGAGCCAACTCCAGGCCAGGCAGCGCTGTCTGCCATTGCACTGAAGTGCAATCTACACTGTGCCCAGTTAACACAGGGTAAGGTGACCTGCACAGGTCATCACTGCAGAGCTGAGCAGCAGTGCTCCTGAGAMCCACGTCACACCACCAAGTGAGGCTGTTTCTCTGCTCTGACCTCTTCCGTCCTCTTGGCTGTGTCCCTCCCAAGTCGATTCCAGCTTCACCAATTCTGCATAGCCTCCTCCAATCTCCCAGGCCCAAGCAGCCCTTTCTCCCCTGTCCCTCGCAGGCCAGTCTGTCTCTCTGCCAGGGTACTCTCATCCAAACTGCCCTGGCTACCCCACTCCGCAGACAGGGCAAAGGCCACAACAGGACGCCGCACCAGGCTGGGTGGGTATAAAACCCGCAGGACGAGGCAGATGCTCCCTCCTGTGACCTCACCTGACTAGGGTCTGGTTGTGCAGGTCCCAGACGGCAATGTTCCCATCGCTGCAGCAGGAAAAGCAGACTTTTGCATCAGGGCTAATGGCCAGAGCGTAACAGGCAGGAGCGGAGGACGTCAGCTCGGCCTTGATGCGGGGTGTGGGTGAGGCCAGATCCCAGATGGTGAGTGTGCTGGCCTCTCCACCCACAATGAGTGTGCGCCCATCAGGGAGTAGCTTGCAGGAGCGAATGTAGTTGTCCCTGTTCTAGAGGGAGAAGGGGCAGGGCTAAGCATTGTCCACACTTCCTTTCCTGGGCACCTTGAAAGTCACAGCTAGTGACCCCTCGCCCCCTTGCCACCTAAGCTCCCAGCACCCCCTAAAAAATAGCAGCTACTAGGCTGCCCCTGGGTTTTCAAATTTACATTCCATTATTCCCTCCCACTCCTTCAAATACTCCAAGAGGTCAGGATCATTTCCACTTGCAAATGGCAAAACGAGGGCCCAGAGCTGCTCAGCCAATCCAGGGCTGAGCCAGGCCAGGACTGGGGCTCTCGCCTCTAGCCCAGGCTGCTCCGCTCTCCCACTCCCGCTGGAGACATCTGCAGCCCCGGAGTGCTCACCAGGCAGTCCAGCTGGGAGATGGGGCTCTTACTGCCCGGCTGGCTGATATCCCAGATCTTCACGCAGCCCTTGCCACCCGTGTAGACGTGCCGCGTGGGGTTGCTGATGGTCACGGCACACACCACCTCCCCGTGGCTGAGTGTGTTGATCTGGCGGGCATGCCTTGGGATTCCAGGGCCTGCCAGAGCATCATGGGGGAAGGGCACGGGCTGCATCTGCCCATCAGCGCTCACGTGGAAAGAGTAGGCTCTGAAAAAGCAAGAAACTTCACTCTAGCCATCCATCTCTGCCTCCCAGGTCCCATCCCAGTCAGTGTGAACCACCCCTGACTGGGTGTCCTGCCCTATCTCCTGAAATCCTTAAATCCAGGAACCCTATGTGACTGGAAGGTGGGTCCACCAGGGTGGGTCTTCTTCACCTTCCAACCTTGAACTTTATTCTCACTTATATTCTCATTCCAAATTGGATCGCAAGCCCCACAGGCACCCTTTCCCAACAATTATAAAGTCCCCTGACATTCTGGTCCTAGTGGGATCCAGCTAAATGCCGCCTATTTTAGGAGTCAGTGGTGGCAGGGAGGGGAATCTGCCTGCCCCTCCAAAACCAAACTGCAGGGATTCATCAGAGCCACAAGCCACAGCTGGATGACCTGCTGTTCTGGGATTCTGAGGGAGCCTTCTCAGTGGGCTGCAAGATCCTCCTTGATGAGGTGAGCTCTGGGAAAGCCTAAGGCAGTATCTCTAATGTCTACTCAGCCTTTTATTTCCCAACAGCCCATGGAGGTGAGGGGCAAAGGGGAAGTGTGCCCTGTGGGGGGGTGGAACACTGGAGACAGGGGAGGGATAAGTCTAGCAAGGCTGGTGGCCTTTCCCTTCCAGCAGGTAGATCCCAAAGGGGTCCCCAAGACCCACAGAAGCCCCATGGCTTTGGTTAGAGGTGCGCCTTCCCTCTCAGAGCCAGAKACTGTACTCAGCACCTCTTGGTTTCCTGTTGGAGGAAGCCTCTGGGGCTGGTCACACTTGGTGGTTTCCCAGGGTCACRGGCCTAAATGCCTCTAGAGGGATCCAAACCTTTCCAAGGGGAGACAAAGCCCGGCAAGCTGGTGTGCTCAGGGGACGGGAGGATGGGGTTGTGTACTCTCCCCTGTCAGCCTTGTGAGGCATGCAAGAAACATAGCCATAGCTTACGGTTTCCCTCCGGGAATGGAGGCGAGGCTTGAGGGCAGGCCTGTGGCCCGCATGGGAGGGTGAGGGTCAAAACCAACCTGCAAGAAAAGGCAAGGCAGCCGTTAGTGATGCCACCGTACAGCCCCTCCCTTCTGCCCCCTACCACCCACTGGGTCCTGCCCACTCAGCTCAGCCTCTTCAGGATCAGGGCATCAGCACAGCGCAGGAGGCCAGCTAGAAAGGCCAAGTGCCTTGCCCACGACAGTGCAGTCCAGACCTCTGACTCTGAACCAGTGCCACAAGGCACAGCCAGCTGACCCTGTCCCTCCTGCTGCCCCAGTAAGCCTGTTACTAGGATGGAAAGGAGACCACCCTAGGTATACGAAGTAAGGACAGAATTGTCCCGAAAAGGGGCCTTTCTCCACCAACCCAGATCCTAACTGATCCTCTATTATGACAGCTGTTAACAACCAGCTCCACCTCCCAAACCTGCCCGGTGGACGTCATTTCCCATCCCGCCCTGAGCCCAGGAAGCAGCTGTCAGCCCATGTCCCAGAGTGGCCAGGAGCAATGCCTGCAGGAAGGCTGTCCTGTGGGAGGTTACACAACGGGCAATGGGGATGGAACCAAACCCAGGCCAACCCCACAGTGGATCCTCACAGCTCTTTCCCATAAATGTTCTCCTTAGGGCAGCTGTATGATTTCCAGACCCCTGTTTCCCTTTAGCATGCAGGGAGCACCACTGCAACCTCCACCAGCTCTCTACTCCCTGCCCAGTCCCCAAAAAAGGAGCCAAAAGGTCTACGTACAGCTCCAAAGCTCACCATTGGCGATCGGCCATAGGCAGCAGCTGCAGCGGCGGCGGCGGCGCTCATCTGGGGCGGGATGTTGTGGAGGCCAGCGTAGGCGCTTGGGCTGGTGAGGGAGCCGTTCATCTCGTGGTGGCTCATCATGGCAAAGGGTGTGGCATAGGAGCTGGTGATGGAGATGGGCGTGCGCAGSGCTGAGGCTACGAGAAGGTGGGTGTCAGTGGGGAGGTGGGCATCAAGGGGAGTGAGCCCCACCCTCTTGCCCAACCACACTGCAGCCACCTCCTTGCGCAGCAGCAATCCTTCCTGCATACTGAAGCTGCCTGCTCTTGGGAGTCCTCCAGCACTGAACCCACCCACAGGGGACCCTTGACTTCAGAGCCTGAGCAAGCTATAGCTGGGACACATCTACCTCTTTCTACACAACAGGACATGGAGGCCCAGAGAAGGCTCGTTGAGAGCCTTACAAAACTAATGGCAGGGGCAGAAACAGGTCTGGGGTGCCCTGACCTACTTGATGCTCCTTCCACACATGCAGCCTAGTAGTGGCCCAGGAATCCCTGACCTGAGTGTTGAAGGCGCACCCAAGTCCTCCTCAAACCTAACTGTGAAGCCAAGGGCAGATCCTAGGAGAACCCCAGCTTGGACACTCTTTGTGCTCTGGCCCAGACACGCGGCTCCAACCCTGGCCTGAGGCCAACCCTCCCCCCACACCATCAGATCAACCGAGCCCCATGGTGCCTACCCATTATACCTATCGGGTCCATGCCTGGAGGTTTGCCTGGCATTGAGCGGAGCCCTGGGGTTGTGCTGGTGCCTGGGGTCGGGGCATCATTCCTYGGAGTTGGTGTGTTGGACTTGAGGCCAGGCGTTGAGGATTTGTCATTCTGGGAAGGGAAGAGGTAGAGACCAAGGGAAGTCCTGAGGACCCCTCTCTCCAGAGAGCTAGCACAGCACCTAATACCATCCCCACAAGAAGCTCGGCCCCAACCCCAGTTCTGGACCCTCTGCTGAACAGAAAGACATGGTTCCATTTTACAGATGCAGCAAACAAGGCTCAAAAAGGTTCCTTGACTAGTGCAGGACCAGCCAGCAGGTGGTAGGGTCAGGCGTGGACCTGAACAAGCCCATAGCTGGGTCCTTTCCACTCTCTCCCCTCCCCAGTCAACACCACTCCAGCTGTAGCCTCTGTGCACCCCCATTCCCCATCCCTTTCTGCCCCACCTCCTTGGAGGCACCAAGCAGACCCTACATACATGACCAAGGTCTTTGGTCTTGGAAGAAGGTGTACTGCTGGAGGAGGCCACCGAGGCGGGGCTGGTGGGGGCGTCCTTTTTCAGGCCCCGGGCCTTGTCCAGTCCATTTTCAGGAGGGGAGTGTGCAGGGCTGACCCGGGGCGTTGCTGGGTCCTAAAAACACAAGATACACAGAAATGCTCTGAAAGCCATGCCTAGGCTAGAGTCTTCGCTCCCTAAGAATGGGCTCAGAAAGGGCATGAGTGATGGGGAGAGTCTGGCTAAGAGTCTGGGGGCCCCAAGGAGGGGCGACTAGCTATTAATTTAGTCTGACCCTTCTATGTCACAAGCAAGCAGACTGAGGCCTAGGATAGGGTGGGGAGAGTGAGCTGTCCACGATCAAACACAAGTTCAGGACTCAAATTGGTGAGGCTGGGCTTGGCATCGGGTAGCTTCTCTTCAGCAGCTGCTGTTCTGCAGAGGACTCACAACTCTCCCTCAACATGAGGATGGAGCAGAGCCGACCTGAGAGACTACAAGGAACAAGGTGGCCCCTCTCTGGGCTCTTTCAGGGTCTCTCTGGAGATCCATCACAGGAAGTTCTCAGGGTCTACGAACACCCCGCCACCATGCAGGAAAGCCCTGCCCCGCTCCTCCTGACCCACCGGATGTGCCAAGACTAGAGGCCTCACTGCTCTGCTCAGGCAACAAAACAGATGCCACTCTAAGAAGAAACAATCCTAAACCACCCCAAACCCTACAATGGGGGCCTGCCCTTACCTCGTTAGAAACATCCACCACCAGATCATCACTCTTGTCCCCATCACTGTCCTGCAACCAAGAGAAGCCAGCAGACCAGTAAGAGACCACACCCTCTCCTCTCCAACCCAGCCTGAGCCAGCCCCTGCTCTCCACCCCTGCCAAATGCCAAAGTCCTCACTGTATCTACTGTGCCTGTGCCCGGTGCCAGCAGCATTCCAGGTCAAAGTCGGCCTTCCTCCTGGGCTCCGGGGCCTCTCTGCTGCTGTGCCCACTGGGTAGATTCCTGCCCCCTGACCATACTTCCCATCCCCTCCCTACAGCCTGCCCTTTCACTCAGCTCTCGGAAGCTGGAGCCTCCTTCCCAGCTGGCTTTACAGTGGCTATCACGAAGCCGTGTGTCACTCTCATCTTGGTGTCCTCACCACTCTGGGGTGGGCCACTGGCCTCATTTCACAGAAATACAGCTGAGCTCCGAGTGCACAACACATCCAAAGCCGCAGAGCGGCCAAGCACTGAGGTGGGTTGCTGCGGGTCCTCCGAGGCTCAGCACGGCACTGTTCCCATGCCCAGCCCAGCCCAGTCCTGCTCAGCCTGGCAATGGAAGCTACGATGGCCACATTTCCACAGGGTCTCACATTATAAAGCTACTAGAAGTCACGGCTGAGAGGCTGAATGCCTGGGACAGACTATGAGGACTGCAGGGCCAACCTTTGGGGACCATCTCTAGCAGCGACTGGGATTCCGTGAGTACCATTAATGGCAGCACGGGAATAATGGCCCACTGACGGAGGAGCCCACCACCTCCCCAGACCCCAGGAAGGCCAGGATGACAGTCCTGTCCACTCCACTCAGTGACTCGCATGCCAGGGTGTATGACTTTCCCCCGAAGGCCTCCTGTCCCACCTGTAACTCTGACTCACTAACCGACCTCCAGGGGGCTCAGGCCACAGCTCAGTCACAGCCTGGGACCTGTCCTGCCCAACCAGTCCAGTGGTACCCGCTGCTCTCAGACGTACGTATCGGCTCAGGCTGTCCTTCTCCTCGGCCTTGCGCTTCTTGGCTTCCATGCTGTAGTCTGCAGAGCCTCGGTGCTTCTCGCTGGCCCTGAGGCTTTCTGAGGGTGACACTGAGTTATTCTAGAAGCAAGAAGATGATTCGGGGTCAAAGCCTTGTACCCAAGCCTAACCTCTCACACAGCCTCCAACACAGCTAAACACAAGCTACACAGGAGGCCCGAGGAGGGAAAGAGCCTCTTCCACCCTGTGTCTGTGTCTCTGCTCACTCGGAGCCTAGACAGGGAGCTGAGCCCTTCCCTAACCCCTAGGTCGATTCCCTGGGAGCTACTCTGGCCCATCCTTATTTTTTTGTTTTTGGTGGTACCCAAGATCCAACCCCAGGGCCTCCTGCATGCCATGCCAGGTAAGCGCTCTAAGTCTGAGCCACACCCCCAGCACATCTGGGTCAGGGTCTGACYATGTTGCCTAGGCTGGCCTCAACTTTTGATCTTCCCTTCTACCTCCAGAGTAGCTGGGTAACAGATGTGCACCGCCAGGCCCAGCTCCCCGTTGACTTTTGTAGCAAGACACTACTATTAAATACTTAGTCTTTCAATATTGAGTTCTTCGCATTCTAGCCTGAGAGCCCCCTCCCTATAGGGTGAGAGTCACCTGTGTGGCTCACTACCCACCCCTCTCATGTCCGCCACATTTATTTGCCCCAAGGAAGGATGAGGGACAGCTGCCCTGAGTCTTGAAAGATGGATCTGAGGCGACAGACAGGAATGTGACAGTACTTCATCATCATCCCATAGGAATGGGGAAATAGGTAGGGAAAGAGTGTCAGCCTATCAACAGTGTTCTTAATTGTGGACAAGCAACTGGGACCATCTTACTCCTCTCCACAGCCAGGCTGCCAGCAACCTAGAGAGACATCAGGGTCACAGACAAATAAAAACCCCAATGTTACAAAGCATCTCCCTCTGCAAGGCAGGAAACACAAAGGCAGGGAGAAATGTCCCCCTCTGTCAGAAAGCAAGGGCCCTGTGAGGTTGCCAGCCTGGAAATAGCTGGAGATCTCTCTCAACTACAGAAAGAGGGAGCATGGGGACCCTTGAGCATCAAAGACTTGGGAATAGGGTAGACTGGCAGGCCGGTCTGGAAATGGAGCTGTCCTGGAAGGGGACAGGAACAACTTCTGTCCATGGCTGTCAGCTATTGGCAAGGGCACCCGACAGCAACCTTTTGAGGATCAATGCCCCTCCAGGATGCTGCTGAGGCTCACCCCTCTCCAAGAAGAGCACTATACTGTTACTCCCTTCGCCTACCCAGCCAGCATTTTCAAAGCACCTGCCGTGGGTCGGGCTTGGCACTGGGTGGCAGAATGAGCAAGACCAGTCCCTGCCCTCCACGAGTTCAAGTCTAGCCAGAGGAGAGAAAAAGACTAGCTGATCCACAGCTTGAGGCAGTGAGAAATGTGTGATGGGGTCATGGCAGGACAGAGAGACATCTGTTCAGAAGAGAAGGGGCATCCGGGACAAGTAGGAGAAGCCTCACTTCTCATCCCCTCATCGTCCTGGAGGCCAATGCTGGTGCAAGGGCAAAGGTTGCTGAGAGGGGATGGGCCGGTGTTTGGGGGCCGGTGCGGGAGCCAGCCGCAGAACTTAATTTCCGTTCCTAAGCCGGTTTCTGAGCAGCCCGTCCCTGCCAAGTTTCTGCCTGAAGCAAATTAAAATGGCAGAGTTATCAAGCCTTGAAGAAAAAATGGAGGCTATAATGGAACTGCAGCTCAACCTTCCCACAGCCGTGCAGAGCGGCGGCGATGCGCGCACAGCCGCAATTCAATTAGCTGCTGCAAGCGCCGGCAGAAAAATCACCGTCATTTCGTTTCATTTCCTCCGACGGTGGCGGCCACCCCGTGCTAAGCAGAAATGCTTCCAGCCCCTCGGGCTGGCTGCCCCTCGCAGGCGGGAGGGCGGGTGGAGAGGAGGGGGGCGCGCGGCTGCTTGTGTTTCTCCCTGCGACCCGGTGCGCGGCTCGGGAGAACAGCGAGCTCTTTCTTCTCATGCAGTCAGGCTGAAAACCCTCGCCGCTACCGGAGAGTCATGTCAGGCATTTAGCGGCATCGATCCAGCCCGCCTCTGGCTGGCAGGCGGCCAAAAAACTAAGTATTTTTTATTGCTTCGGCTAGGCAAGGAAATATGAATGAAGCTACCTCTAATTGGACTCCAGACTAACCCCTCTGGGACAGTTTCCAGCCCGTCCACCCGTCCCCCTCCCGCTCTGACACAGCCCTGTCCTTCCTGCCGTAGGCCTCATCTGTTGACAACCTGGCTTCCAAAGGCTCATTACTTCAGTCTACACCCTCTGACACCATCGCCACATGCCCACAGCCCCAGTGCCCTGACTCTGAGCTGCCAGGCCTAGCCTTCCCTCCCACCTCAGCCCGGGGATGGCATCTGATTCACTCCCACTCCATTCTCCTGCAGCCTAGGTGTGCCCCCTCTGCTCTGAGAGTCTGGCCCGAGCGGAAGTTGGCAAATGCTGTGGAGTGAAGAGCTCGGGCTCCTGAGAGGTGCCTGTGGGCTTCTTCTAGCAGAAACTTTCATCAACAGGGCACAAAGCCAAAAGCAAATAGAAATGAGGGTGAGGAGGCAGATGAGGTGAGGACCCAAGGGTGCTAGGCTCAAACACTGTTTCCCTGCAAGAGATTACTGTTCCCCGGGAAATCTGGACTTGTTATAAGCAGTCCTTTCGATGGTACCGAGGAGCTGGCTGGAAGGCTGGCTTATTATTCCTGTGTTACGCAAAAGGAAACTGAGGCTCTGAGAGGCCATGAGTGCTATCCTATGTCTCATAAAGCTGGGACCAGAGCCAAGCCTGAATGTGTCCACTGCAGCCTTCCTTCTATCTAGGCAAACAGCTTCTTCAAAAATGCCACTGTTCGAGGATCAACAGTGAAGCAATCAAAATGGATTTTCAGCTTCAATTATTCCTTTCTTCTGTACCTAGCCATTCCCTGGCCCAAAATGGGACCTGGATTTCTGAGCACGTGGGCATGGGGAGAGAAGACAGCAGCACCCTATCTGGGTAAAGGGAGGGCTAGGGAGGGAAGATGGGTCTGGACAGAGGGAGGTGCCCGCCGAGGCTGCTGTCTAGATGGTTAGTTAACTGCCTGACCTTCCAAGTCCTACTTAACACGAGGTAATAACCAAAGCCATCCTAACAGATTAGATGGCCCCAGATACAAGGATGGCGATGAGGAATAAAATAGCTCCACTAATCGCTGGAGGATTTTTTTTATCCAGACTCCACTGTGCTTATTCAGAAGGCTTATTCACTTGAAACAGAACCTCGGAGCCTCAGTGTGATCAGAAAGATTTACAACAAATCTCAGAGCTGGCAGACACGCAGGCGGCCTGGCCTTAATGCTTGCTTGCTAGCACTTTCTTAAACCAAGTGAAAGCTCAGAACAGGGAGAAGCCTCAGGCATTTGAAGCAGTGGAGGATTCAGGATGTGCAGGAGGCATCCAGCCTGCAGGGCGGGTAAGAACCTTGGCCGGCAAAGGGGACAACTAGGTCCTTAGCCCTGGGCTGAGCTCCAGTGGCTCTACAAAGCCCCTTGGAAGACCCAGGTTGTCAGCTGACCTGGTTTCACATGAGAGACAGAGCTGATTTAGCCAAAGCTCTCCATTTGATAAATGATGTACCAAAAGCCTGGAGAGATAAAGGACTTCCGTAACTGAATGCCACTCAACAGGTGACAGCAACTCCTACTTTAGGACAGTAACCATCCCCCCTCCACCAGGGGATGAAGGCACTGTCACCAGAACATCAGCTGAAGCCAGCTCTCCCAGTCCTGGGCATGCATAAATCACAAACCCTCAGCTTCAACCCACAGAGCAACAGAGAATCCTGAGCCCAGGGTGGGCAATAGGTGGGTCTCAGGTGCACAGTTCTTGGACAAACCCCCAGGCCAGGAGCCCAGCAATCCCTCCTCCTCCCAGCACCCAAACACAACCTTGCAGGGTATAGAGCACTGATACTTACCGCACTGGATTCTCTCTCTTTGGGGAAGGAAGGCCAAGGCAGAAGAGTCAGGACCCCCAAGAAAAAGAACAAAAAAGAAAGTAAAAAGGTCAGTTTCCTCAGTCCTGCTGGCTGATATAAGCCCATTTCACTGGTCTTCCAAAGGGAAAAGGGCCTGGCACTCTCTAAGGGTCAGCCAAAGAAGGGTCAGTGGGCGATATATCTCAGTTTGGAGATTATCCAACCCAATTCCAGCGCCCCTCCTTAGTTCCCAGGGTGGGCCAGGGGAGGCTTTTGGCCCAGCTCTTCCTAGCATGCCATAAGGACATCAGTTTACTCTTCAACAGTCTAGGGTTCTTAAAGTCACAAGCCTGGGAAGGATCACTCTATGCAAAATACCCATGAGATCTGGGAATTGAGAACATTATGAAAAAAAGAAAAGAAAGGAATACAGGAGTGGCTTTTGTCTTGTTTTTTTAATTAACACTGTCCTCTGTTTCTTTGCCAAGACGACCCTGGAAGCTGAAGCCTGATTATTTGCCTAGCTAAGCAGTAGCTCCCATTCTCCTGCCTGCTGTGGAGGCCCCTTTCCGTGGGCCAAAAGGACCAYTTTACTATAGGGGACAAAAAACTTGGCTTCTAGTTCCCAGGACATGGCCTGGGCCATGGCAAGATGGTGACACTGCAATTCCCTGGGCCCAGGAGACTCAGAAGGCATTGGCTACGTGGCTCTGTAAATATCCAAGGGCAAAGCACACAAGCTGGCCAGCTTTGTGAAGGGTCTGCCTCGGAGCCAGGCCCTTGCCTTTCCTGATCCAAGAATCCCTTCAAGCCCCAACTCAGTGTAGGTTCCTGGGTCCTCATGGTCAGGGCCTAGATGCAGGTTAGGAGAATAAGTTCTGATTCCAGTTTCCCAATCACCTCCCCGCTGGAATGTGCTTGCTTCCTCTACTTGAGCACTGACTCTGTACCTTCCCTGAGGCTTCTGCATTGGTGAGAAGATGCTCAGAAAAATATCTAGAAAGTTGGTCCCTGTTCTCAAGAAACTGGATGGTCTTGGTAAGGACGAAATATTTTCCAGGGAGAGAACATAAAAGGACAGCAACAAATGACGGTATTGGGGCCACAATTCTTAAACTTTCATGGGAATTTGGAAAAGGTCCCCAATCTGACCAGGAAGACATCTTAAGGGAACAGGGGCTGGACGAGCTCTCCAAGGACAGGGCACAGCTGCAAGCTGAATGATGAAGGGCGGGCTGCTCCAGAGGAATGGACAGACGCCTGCCAGGGCACAAGATGGACTGGGGCATGGTGCGTAGGAATGGGGTGCTGGTTTCCACACACCAGGGAGTCAACAGATGACTCCAAATCTTTGTCTGACTCCTAGTCCTAGAGTGACAGCACCTGCCATGTCCACACACCATGGGGTTTGCAGGCATAGGAACCCAGCCCATCCCCACCCAGTTCCCAGCCCCGGCTCAAGCCGCACCTCGGTGATCAAGTTCATGGTGGTTCTTCTCATCCTTCACCGACAGGTGGGCCTGGCTGCCCAGGGCGCCAAGTGCCAGCAGTCCAGAGCTGCTTCCCGTCACTGGGGGGATCCCAGGAGGCTGGAGGCCTGATGGGTGGGGCGGCAGTTGTACAGGGGGGCCATGCGTGGCATGGGAGAGGTGCTGCGCCTGGAGCTGCTGCTGCTGCAATGAAGTCAGTGGTGAGCATAGCTGAGTGGACGGGCAGGGGAGCTCGGACTACCTCTTCCCATCTCCCTCGCTCCGCCATCAGGAGGTAGCAGAGGGAAAACCACCCCCAAACCTTTGCCCCCCAGTTCAGTCCACATGCTCGTATCACTAAAGGAAGTCTGTAAATGGCCGGCAATTTAGATAAAAGATTTTATGTCTTCAGGCACCCCACCCAGCCCCACACTGCAGTTGCAGGACAGAATTTCGCAGTCTTTGTTTCCAAGCCAGAGATAAGTAATACATGCATTTATAAACCACACAGCCACCAGGGCTCCCTCTCAGTGGAGGGGAATCTGCTGTTAAGCTCACAATTCATGCGTACATGCCTTCAACATCAGCAGCCAGAGCCTCCCACCCAACAGCTGTATCCTAGGGGAGACTCCCTAATTCTGAAGCACTCCAAGCCTGGTCTGGAGCCAAGAGAGGGAAGGTCATAGCAGACAGCACCATGAGTAAGATGAACTTGGAACCAGTGGAATGAGAGCTGATGTCCAGGGACATTGGCAACTAACTGTGTGGCCTTGGGCAGGTGACTTCAACTCCCTGAACCTCAAAGTTCCTCATCTGTTGTATGGGGAAAGAACCACCTACTGAAGCAGAGGATCACTGTAAGACAATGTGTACAGACAGGGCTTGGGCCACAGCCTCCGACTCACTAGGCACTGGGACAGCCCCTAGCAATGGCAGAGCTCTGAATGGGCCCCCATGGCTCCAATTTAGTAATCTCGTCATCAACAGCAGCAATTCTCCCCACTCCCAACCCAGGACTCTGCTCCCCAGGGCACTCAGGGCTCCCTGTTCCCTTCCTCCCCCACAGCCAAGTAGACAGACAGATATGCCACATATCATTCYTAAACTGTGCCAGGAACCAAGCTACACCATGCCAATATTTCTTAGGGATGGGTGCGGTAGGGCCAGGGCATGCTGGTCTCCAGCAACACACACACCTTTCTCCTCCATTAGCACAAGAAAAGGAACCCAACACTTACTGAATGCCCAGGCACTTTCCAGACCCTACCCCCAATCATTCCAACTACCTGGCAAGGGAGGGGCTGTGCCTATTTTACAGATGACAGATGGATGCTTAGGGGGATAGAGTGGGCAGTCAGTAACTGACAAGTCCTGCCACTGCTAAGTGGGATTTGGACTCAAATCAACCTCATCCTAAGAGTATTGTAGGAAGGTCCTTCAAATAAGAGGAGGTGGAGAGGGGGGTCGGGGAGTGACAGAGAGCAAAGATCTCACATCAAGACTTCACTCCAGACAGGGAGCTTGCCTGTCAACATGAAATGGCTCTCTGAAAATGGCTCACACACAACAGGATATGAAGAAGGCCTACATGTGTTTGGTAGAAAGTTAACGGCCCTTGTTCTCCCTCAACTAAGCTGCAAATTGTCATCCTGGGCTCCACCCCAAAGTTAAGGCAGCCATGGAGGTCACCATGCTCCTGGCCTCAGAGGCCACTGGTCCTAAAATGGTCTGACCCCAGGTCTACCTGAGATTTACTATAACAGATACAGGGTTAAGGCAGCCCTTGCAGCCAGACTCACAGGGCCTATGCAGACATCAACCCTCCCAGCTAAAGAGCTCAGACTGCTCTCAAATGGGAGCCATGCCATCTTTCAGAGAAAATATGATTTTTTCATCTTATTCTAAAAATTATACATGCTCATAGAAGAAAAAAACTGAGTAAAAACTTGGAAGTTTTTTTTTTTTTTTGGATTATCTTTCAATCACACCCCTAGAAGACTCTGTTACTTGTCTAGATTTTCCTTTATGATAATCTACAAATTTTAAATGTATTTCTACACAAAAATGGGCTCGTCAACCAGAATGCTAGATATTCTGATTTTAATTTAAGTGTTCCACAGAAATCAACTTGTCCTTTTGCATGACTACTTAGTAGTCCCTGGTGTGGCAGGACCATACAATCTCATCTAGATATCAAGTTACAATGAGCCCTCAGTGGGGACCCTATGGTTTTAAACTTGCTGCTGTGAGGCCCTTTAATCTGCTAGTGATGACTATTTAGTAAAATCCCAGGAAGCAAGGGTGAAGGCATTTCATCCGCTTTTCACAGTGCAGAGCCAGTAAGATCCTTTAAAGAAGAAACAGAAAGAGGAGGGGGAAGATGGCTTCAAAGTGTCTTTGCTGGCTACAGCCACTGCCAACTCCTTCCACATACTCAGTGAACACAGCCAAACTTACTGAAGGTGGGTATCCAGAGAAAGACGTAGATTAATAGTTCCAAACACCCTTTCACCTACCAGGTTAAGGCCTCCTCTCCTACTCAAACATCCAGGCTCAACTGTGCCCAGTTAAGTGTCACCTCCTCTGGATGCCCTTTCTACCCTCCCAGTGGGAACAGATCTCTCCCTTCTGAGGGTTCTCAGAGCCCAGACTTGGGAGCCAGACACCCGAGGTGGACTTGCATCTCTATTCTTTATCAGCGATGAGTTCTAGGACAAATCAGTGGACCTTTCTGGGCCTCAGCTTCCTCATCTGCCAAAGGGACCCCAAAGTGGAGCTCCCCTCTTCAGGCTGGACGAGAATCACACACATTGCTACGTAGAAACCAAGGACGTGTTCAACCAGCCGTCAGCAAACTTGATGAAAGGATCAGATGCCACCGCTTTCTGTCATCTTTACATGTGCTTAGTACCTTTTGAGCTCCAGGACAACAGGCCCTTGTCTCATCTATCTCAGAAACTCCAACAGTGCAGGGCACATTTTCTGAGTGAATAAGTGAAACATTGGAAAAGATATAAAAGAAGAGATTGAGAAGTCAGTCAGCTCTGTCCAAAGGGGACCAATTGCCTCCCAGATCCGTGTCTCTGAGGTCCAGTGCGAGGCAGCTAGAACAGTTAGTTGGCACAGACAGCATCAGCAGGGTGTTGGGCATCCTGCTTCCTCAAATCATGACCGAGTGAACCATCACCAGAAACCTGGGACAAAAGCCGCTGAGCTTCCAAGATGGAGATAATGCCACTCTGTTTTTGCATCTCAGGGAGGAGCATTCTCTTTGCGGTGGAGGAAAGGAATCTTCTGTACAAAACTCAAAAATTTCTTATCTTTAAAGACAAGAAAAACCTGCTCTGCAGAGCCAGAAACCACCCTGTAGTCTCCTGGGGGTGGTCTGAAGGCATGGTCAGGACTGGCCCAGCAGATTCTGGGATACAGGGACAGAAGAGCCACACCACAAGGATTCTTGCTTAGGGAGAGAGCAGTTGCCATGGCTTGTCAGGCAGAGGGTCTGCCAACAATAATAATCTTGGTTGCAATACACAATAAAATAAGTTTTCTCCCTGATGGGGTAGGCAGTGTCCAGCTGGCAGTGACCCGCCTGACTCAACATCTCTGTTACAGCCTTAGCCCTGCAGCAGGCAGCCACCCTCAGGCTGTAGTTCTGTCCCCTACAACACATCCTCCAGCTTCAGAGCACAACATGCTCAAACACGGTGATGTCTGAGTGAGAGGGTGACACTGTTTTTCAACTAGAAGCCTACTCCATGGTAGAGAAATGGCATCAACTCCACAGTCTGAGCCCACCTTACCATTACTTCAATTCTGGCACTTCTCCATCCATAACACGAAGAATGTCGAGGACTCCTCTTTCCACCCGCAGCCCCAAAAGAGGGGCCAGGAGCCTGGAACCAAGCTGGCTCCTAGTGCTTCTGTCTCCCTCCTCAAATATTGCATGTCAGAACACAAACATGTCCAAATCCACATCTCTTGGGGTGTACATGGGTCCTCCGTCCTCCGCATCTGTGCCAGGCACTGTGGCCTGGGCTCAGAAGGTGTGGTACCCACAGGAGAGACGACAGGAAGACCTTGCTGCCGAGTGTGCGTAGCTTGGCAAATGCTCCTCCTGCCGTGCACCTTTGCTAGCTGGTGCATTGCTTCGCTTCTGAGGTTCCCCATGTCAGTGAAACTTGGCGACGTTGTCTAACCACTTCATTTCCAGAGCCAAACTGGGCAAAGGCTCCCGCCAGAGGAAGCAAAGACAGGGTCCTAATGCAAAAAAAGAACACCCCTGATCTCCAGGGGCAGGAGAACATCCTCAGGCCTCTGATTGTTCTTTCACAAAGCTCGGCGGCACACAGCGCAGTTCCACACGGAATCCTACTTTCCAGTTTGGGAACAGCTTTACGAGCTCACGACAATCCTTGTTATCCCCACTTCAGAAATAGGCAACGATGGCTCCTGGAGCTGAGCAAGTCCAGAAAGCCAGCAGCGACCAGAGCCAGGACACAAACCAGCAGGACCTCCCCTAGCACAGCTGCCTGGCTGAACAAAACTGACGGTTGAGGGCACAGACGCTGTGCAGGATCTCACCAACCAAATCCAGCTCATCAGCATCCTTGCCACAGACGCCAGAACCTCAGGTGGGGCTTCATAGTCCTTGTGTGGTTTGTGACAAGCTACCTCCTCCCTTCCCCTCCTCCCCCCAATTAAAAGGAAACAAAAATAAACAAAAAAACAAGTCAACACTTTACAGCGTATCTCTTCTCCTGATAACTCCCCAGAGAATGCAGGTCAATCCACGTGTGGGCAACCGGGCAAAAGCCCCTCCCAGTGCAAAGGCCTTGGCCCATCACAGAATACTAAAAAGTGGGTTCTGGAAATGGTTGATAAATCAGCTCATGGGGTCATGGATCACAGCGCCCCCACAAGCTGCTGACCAAGTATCACACTTCCCACCTCATGTTGAGGATCTTATCCTTCTAAGGATCCCCTAATAATGTGGATCCCAGGAGTAGAGCATACAGGTCTTGTCAACTCCAAATGGAAGAGAGACAACCTTTGGGCCTGCCTTCCCAGGGGGACTTGAGCTCCCTGTGGTCCAGCAGGGCAGTGGGTGGGTTTGGCCAGCAAGCCTGGCTCCCTCCATCTGTCCTTCCTTCTCCTCTCCACACACACCACCCTGACCTGGACTCCAGCCTTTCTCAATCAGAAAGAAGATCCCAGAAAGACTCTAATCCTCCTGGTAAACATGCCACTGGCTACAGCCATGCCCATGCTAGACATATTTAACTGATTTCTCTTTGAGTTGAACTGACTCACAACCTCAGATTCCTTGGACTCCCTGCCCAAGAGGGCCTTGGACAACTGAAGCAGATGTGCCACGTGACACCTGCCAATCCTCCTCCTCCTCACGTGGGGAAACTGAGGCCCGGAGGAACAATATGGCTAACTCCCAGACCAGGCTGCTGGCCAGAGGCTGCTTTTCCTTCCAGACTGACAAACCCTGCAGCGCCTGCCCTTCTGGCAGTCCTTGGCCCTACACCCCCAGCATGTCATGCGTCTCCTCCTCACTTTCTAGGGGCAGCTCAGCTGCAGGCTTGCTCTCCTGGCTCCTCCAGGAGGAGATAAAAGACTCCCCGACTAGATTAGCCACCTCCTTGGCTGGAGTGCAGCGAAGCGCGGCTCCCGCGCGGGCATGCCTCAGCTGTCCGTAATTCCTGCCTGGTGAGGCTCTGTCAGGCACGGCGATTAGACGGCTGCCTGCTTAATGACAGGGCGACGGCTGCATTCACTCAGAGCCTGAGAAGCAATTACCTTGAAAATGGGGGTCACAGGCCCCACTCGTCCGCTTTAATTGAATTCCAATATCTGCCTCGAGCTGCCTTGACCTAACTTGTAGCTTCCTAAATACTACTTACAGGAAGTGGAGCTAATCCAAGCAGTGCTTCTTCCCCAATTTTATTCCTTTCTTCAAATGTAAATATATATACATATATATGTATTTTTTTAAATAAGAGGTTTTTAATTCCCCAAAGAGAGGCGGGGGGAGTGGGAACCCCACTGTAACCACTTTAGGGGGTGAAAGCACTCAGCCTGGAAACCTAAGACGATGCCTGGGGTGGGGGGGATTTGAGCAGGGAACTCAAAGTGCACGCCTCACCCTTGCACCACCACCACCACTGCAGAGCCACTGAGACAGTCCCTGGCCGCTGAGGAGGACACCATGCTAGAGCTGCACCTGGCAAGTGGGAGAGCCCTGGGTCTTGGGCCTGTCTTAGCTGCTAAAGATTTCTTAAAACAAGGGCATTGGGCTAAGTCAGTGATCCTCAATCACTTTTGTCCACAGACATTAGCAAGGTCCAGGGACATTTTTGGATGTCACAGATGCATGTGGGGGGCTACTGACATCTAACACGTGCAGGTCCAGGATGCTGCTGAGCATCCTACAATGCCCAGGACCACAGAAAAAATTACCTGCTCCTGAATTTCAATAGTGTTGAAGTAGAACAATCCTGTGCTAGATGACCACTGAAGACGCTGCTGCAAAACTTTTAAAATATCCTGCTTTCTCCTCAGGGGGTGCTGCCCAACCCTTTGCTCACCTTCCTATTTCCTCCCAGAGTCCCCCCCCAACACTGCAGGGGTCAAAGCAGCCTAATACCTCCCTCCCCCTCCAGCAGCAGCAGCAGCTTGAATAGGTGCTCACACCAGGAGGAGAGGCCCACCGGGGTGCCTCCACCAACCATTTCAGATGGGTAGCAATGGCAGGATGGAAGAAGGGTCAGTGTCCACCCACCATCACTCCGCCAAGCTGACTCTGATCTCCCAGAAGTCCTGTAGGAGCCAGGAAAGCCCAGAGAGAAGACATGTCCACCCCCTTTCTTTTATAGATGCAGAACTGAAGCCCAGGAAGAGAAGAGCCTGCCCAAGGTCATGCAGGGAAGCTCCATGAGTAAAACACAGGCCTCCAGTTTTCTGCCCCAGACTGAAAAGCCAGGAAGTGCCACTTATCCCACCATGCAGAAGAAAATCCCAGGGCCTCAATTCTACCTTGAAATAATGACCTCACGTAAGAACAAAAAGAGAAATAACAAAGACCAATCACTAACTCAGAAAATGCTAGGGCTAAAGGGACCTCAGCTAACCAGTCCACTGCTTCCCAAATCTGACTATGCGCCCACAAAATGGCAGGAGCACAGATTCCCAGCCCCACCCACAAATCTGTGGGACAAGTTACCCGGAATCGGTGTTTCCTATAAGATCCTTGGGAAACACCAACTGAGTGGTTTGTGGGTGGGAAAGCAGTGACCCCATTACTCCCTTCATTTTAGGGACAAGTGGTTGGACAGGGACACCCCAAAGTCACTGAAAAAAACTTACTTCTCAGGTGCTTATTTTAAATATCCTTAGCCTCACACCAAAGAAACAAATAGAAGGCGGCTCCTATCTGAATCCAAGAAATGCACAAAAAAAAATGGGAGCCAAGTACGGTTACTGAAGAGGAGCACCTGGCTTCCCCTTTCCATGGAGTGGTCAGACTAGCAGGGGCCTCACGGGGCATTTTTTTGTTCCATTTGTTTTCCCCATGTCTGGGTGAATGGAACTTGAGGTCAGGAACACCTGTCTAGGTGCCCCTGATGGAATTCACGAGGGCACATGATACTCAGCCATGCAGCTCAGCACATGGGACAGCAAGACCCAAACCAGGTTCCATAGCATAATGCACATCAATAGTACAGCAGAGACAGTTCTGACCCCAGGCGGCCAAAGAAGGGCAGACCTCTGCAGGAGGAGGCAGAAGGCCCYGGGAGAGGCATGAGGCAATGGCCAGGTACTGGTCAGTCAACTTGGCCTCAGAGATGATCCCAGGCCACTGCCCTCCTCAATGACAGGGATACCGAAGTCAAGGGACAAGGAGGCTGGTGAGTTCAGAAGTGGACCTGAGGCCTGCCTGGCATTCCTGTAGTTTGGGGCCTGGAGGGAATTGAGAGTCACAAGCAAGAGAGTCCCAAATGGATCCCACTGGGATGCTTGGGGAAGCCGGAGCCCTAGGGCCGCCATTCTTTGAGGCCAGCTAAGGTCAGGGTCCATCTCTGGTTATGGTAAATGAGAGGAATAAAAGGGCTATACACACGGTGAGAGGCAGATTGGGGAGTCCACGTACCCCGATGATGGCGTTCAGCTCTGTCATGGTGACCTGCTTGGCACGCTCCACTGCCTGAGCCACCTGCTGCTGGTGCTGGAGGGAACATAGGTGGTTAGACATGGCTGTCCTGACCAGCAAGGAGGAGGCTGTGGGCGGAAGAGCACCAGAGGAGCCTCCTGGGACACAGCCCCGCCCCGAGACAACAGGAGACCCACTAACCAGGCCCAGGACACAGGGAAAGGGGGTGATGGGTGATTTTACTTTCTTCTCTAAAACCTTTCAAATGAGCGTGTATTAACTTCTGAGCCCGTGTTAACTTCCCTTTAATGGCTTTCYGTCTTAAAATAGAGATAAGTGCCAAAAATGACTCGGTAAGCCATGTCCCTCCACCACATACACGAAAAATTAATAAATAAAAACAAAACAAAAGCCTTTCTTTAATGCAATGTGAATATAAATTGGATATTATACAATATTACAGAATAATTATAAATTTTCTAACTATAGTGCCTACAGGAGGAGGTCCCCATTTTTAGCATAGCTACAATAGTTAGTGGAGAAATGTGGGAATGTCTACGATTTACATTCGAGGATTCAGCAGAAAAGTTTATGTATGTTTACAAAAGAGAGAAAACAAAGTATGCCCAGCTAGAGAGAGAAAGTCATGAAATGAACCCTAATGAACACCATGGACTTTTCTGAGTGGTGGTGATGTGTTGGTACAGATTCATGAATTCTAATAAATAAACCACTCTGTTATTGGAGACGCTATGGGAAATCTCTACTTTCCACTCAACTAAAACTGCTTTTAAAAAATGAAGTCTATTATTAAAAACAACAACCACAAACAAAACCTGTTTCTTTCATTGMCTTTGGCCTTAAGGTAGTACCAGCCACACACGCAGCCGTCTCCTCTACCAGGCTGCAAGCTCCCAGGACACTGTCATGTCTGATTCCAATCATTTCTTGTTCACCACTTTGCCTCAGAAACCCATGTGTCCAAGAGGGAGCTGACGTGGACACGGCCACTGAGGGGGTTGGAGGATAGGGCCTACCCTTGCTGGACAGAAAGGGGCCCACCAAGGTCAGCCCATTTATCTGCCTGGCACAGCAAGGTGGTTCCTTGAAGATGTTTCCCTCGAGTAAGCCCTGTAGCCTGGCTGCTGCCTAGGGGAGTCCCTTGGAAGGTGTGCTTAGAAGGTGATGTGACTACTGGTCATGCCTCTGGTGAGGGCACTCTGTACCTAGGGGCTGCAGTCCCCTTTGAGTGCTGGTTCCCCACACAGAGTCTGCCCTTGGCACTGACTGGCCTCTCTTGCTTGCTCCTAGATGTGAGGATGGAGCACAAGAAAGCAGAGGGTGAGGATGATCTCCGAATGGGACAGAGGACCTGCTGTCSATCACAGCTGCAGCTGCAGCTCAGGACCCACCTCCCTGGCTTCAGGCAATGACAGAAGGAGTAGAGAGTCCCTCGGCTGTGGCCCCCACCCCTGGATCAGCTGAAGAAGGCTCCATAAATCCCCTGGGTGTCAGCGGGGTCCACAGGACTGAACAGGTGGAAGTCTGGACCACAGCGAGACCAGAGGGCCACTGAGCTGACTCAAGAGAACAGGAGGAAACAATAAAAGAAGGTCTCACCTCTTGTGACAGGAAGGGCATGATCTGGGCTAAAATTGTGTTCAGTCTCTTCGCAATCTCTGTCTGCAAAGGAAAAGAGACCATGTGAAGCCTCAGCAAACCAATCACATCAGCAAAATATCAGAGACAAGTGGAACTGAAAACCCCCAAACTGCGGCCCCTCTCCACAGGTTCCATCCTTTCCACCCTCCACCTCTACGGCAGGGAGCCGTCTCTCCCAACTCTCCAGCAGCCAGGCTGCCTACATCTTGGGGAGCTCCCATTTCCTGTCAGAGGTAGTCTACACAGCCGGTACCCTCTGAGTGGAATCCCTAATTAAACCAAAGCCGAGCAGCACCCTGCCCCCAGGAAAGCCCAGCTGGATGAGGAAGGAAGTGCTCTGTCCAGTGTGCCAACGAACTGTGATGGGCCAGGCACATGGGAGCCCCTGGTAAGCAGGGAGCAAAGGGCTCCCTGGGGCCAGTATCACAGGCCATGGTATAGGGCATTCTGGGGCTCCCCTTGCTCCCCACTGGTCACTGCTGCCTCTCCCCCACACAGACCAATCCCCTCCCATAAATGTGCAACTCAGCCTGGAACCCCAACATGAGTTTCCATAGGGCATATCTAAGAAGCTGATTTAATTAGGGATTTCACCCAGAGGGTTCCAGCTGTGCTCTGCATCAAACTTGTAGACCACCTCATCTAAGAAGCTGCTCAGAGAGGTGACCCTCTCATTCCAGCCCCTCACACCGGCTGATCAAGAGAAGCAGATCAGCTGTCTCATCCCCAACACCCACGACAGACCACATTTAGGAAACCATCAAGCATTCCCAACGGTGTCCTGTGTGACCCCCAGATATCAGATCACAAGTGGTGCTAAATGGTTAACTGCTTCCAGACAGGAAGGCCTAGAATCTCCACCGACAGACAACTCTCTGAATTGCTTTCCTCATCTCATTGGGAATCCAGAGCAGCCAGGGCTGAGGTCCCGGGGCCAGCTTCAAAGCTTTCATCAGCACATAGCAATCTTTCAGAGACAAAACCATGACAACAGCCTTTAAAAATCTGTGATCATCTGCATGTCAAATGATTCTGGATGAGAAATCKATGAGCACTTAAAATAAAAACAATGCCGTCTGAAGCCTAACCAACAGACCCTGGGCCTCGGTAGAGTTCCTGGGGCCAATGGCCCCCACCAACCTCTAGCACACACCCACACCCACACGCTCACACACTCTAAGGAGGAGGCCTACAGGGGTTTGCAGTTTGTGGTGAGAACACGCCTTGGACTGAAGAAGCTGATGAGTTTTTGCAGGCCTGTGTCCTGGGCTGCCAGCCAGGGTGGCAGGACTCTCCAACCCAGAATGCTGCCCACAACAGCAGGGACTCCTGGGTGGGGACAGGCATTGTTGCTGGCAGCTCTCTGCCTGGAACACTCAGATCCTCAGGAGCAGAGCCAGTGTTCCCAGCAGGCACCACTCTGGCATTTGGAGTAGAACAATTCTTTGTTATGAAGGACTGTCCCTCCAACCCCAGACCAACTGTGACACTAATGATCCTCACTTCCAGACTCCCTGGGGTGGGAGGCAGGAGTATCATCCCAGCTCAGAATCCGTGAATTTGCCCACAGGTATTACACACTCACAAGGATACCTACCTTCTCAACCTCAGTAATGTTGATATTTGGGACCTGATAATTTTTTTGATGTGTGCACCTGTTCTGTGCATTACATGATTTTTTGGGTGGGGATACTGGGGATTAAACTCAGGGGCACTTGACCACTGAGCCTTACCCCAAGACCTATTTTTGTATTTTATTTAGAGACAGGGTCTCACTGAGTTGCTTAGTGCCCCGCTGTTGCTGAGGCTGGCTGTGAACTCTTGATCCTCCTGCCTCAGCCTCCAAGCCACTGGATTACAGGCATGCGCCACCCGTGCTCAGCTGTATTGTAGGATTTTTAATAGCACCCCTGTCCTCTCTACCCAGGAGTGTCTATCACTTACTCCATCATAAAGAACCTGAGAAGTTTTCTAATCATTGTATAAATTAATCTAGAAAAAAAGAAAAACAATGCACTCCAAAACAGGGTCCTTTCTCACCTCTACTTACTTTTTCCTACCTCAAATCCACTGAGTGGGGGAAAAAGGATGAGCATAATAGTCAGGATTGTATATGGTAGGAATTCTAGAAACAATCATCCAGCCTCCACCACAATCTAAACCTGCATAGAGCAACAAGTTCACTCACCTGTCACGTTTATGTGCCAAATAAAAACAGAAAAATACAAAAAACAAAAACAAACCAGTCTTGTTGCTTAGGAATTTCATTGGTCCAAGCCCTCTTGCCTCAAATGAATAGGATATTAATGACTGAAATATAGTATGAGTTTAATAAACGTTTGGCCAAAAAATAATATTGACAGCCTGTCTGCATTTCTTTTATGTTTATTTATTTGGTACTGGGGAGTAAACCCAGGGGTGCTTAACCACTAAGCCACATTGCCAGCCGTTTTTTAGTATTTTATTGAGAGACAGGGTCTCACTGAGTTACTTAGGGCCTTGCTAAATTGCTGAGGCTGGCTTTGAACTCACAATCCTCCTGAGGCTCACCTCAGCCTCCTGAGCCATTGAGATTACAGGCGTGCACCACTGCGCCTGTGCATTTATTTTTTGAGCCTTCAATTTGCAGAGTGATCCTCATCTTGATCTGGGTCTACCCCACTGTGGGAGCATCTGTGGAGGAGCCCAGGTAGAAGGAACACTGACAAACCACAGGGAGGTGGGGAAGCCCAGGCCCTGCACAATGGAGTGAGGTAGTGCAGTAAAGCCAGACCAAGGCAAGCCACCCACAAGGGTCTCTGGCTGCTGCCCCCTCCTCAAAGCCAGGAAGATGGGCAGGCTCGGAACTTTGCCAGTCACTTTGGCCTACTTAATAACTCCAACTCACAATGTCTGGGGAATCATAAAAGGGTTCCTTGATGTTGCTTACTTCCTCTGGCAAATGGGTCAAGGGTCAGGGTCTTGTGGGGGGTGTGGAGGGAGCAGCCATCTTCCCCCTTCCCCACACCTTTAACAAACATGTGGCCACACACATACTTCCCACAGGTGGGATCTTCCTGCAGGGCCTGGTCCAGAGCCCAGCCTCCTCTGGTTATGAGTAAAAGGGATCCATTGGGATTTCACACAGACATGCCCCGTTCAAGGTCTGGCACACAGGCCACCAGGTGCCCACAGAGGGATTGCTCAGAAGCCCTGTGGGCGGCCCAAGGCAAGTTCCCACTTAGCAGCACCCTTTCACCTCAGCACTCACACTGTCTTTCCTGGGGCCCAAACCCAATAGAGAGGCATTGGTGTGGCAGCAAGGCTCCAGGACAGGGGTGGGGCGTGTGAAAAGGCAAAGGTGGTTTTATATTTGGAGAACTTTAATACTCTATCAGAGCTTCTCTGACCCTGTCCTGAGATTTTTTGTGGGATGAAGGATGGAAGGATGTGGAGAAAGCAAGCAAAGCTCATTCCTCCCCGTGGTAACTCTGCCATATTTGCTGCTGAATATCATCCTTTGCTCCCCCTAAAACTAGCAGTACACAAAAACCCATCTGTACACAGGCTGCCCAATCTGAGAATGGCCTCCACACACTCCACAAACTTTGATGAGTCAAAGGATGAACTGGAAAACTTTACTTAACAGTATTTTTTTTTTTTTTTTTTTTTTTTGGTGTTTGAGGGAGGGGAAGCAATTGCCCAGACAGAAACACTCTAACAAAAATGACAATCACATAACGAATGATGTCCACTGAGCCAACTGTGAGAAGCTTGGGAGCTCTGATAACCCTGGAAGGAAGGCACTTATTAAAATCTCCAATCTTCAGATGGGGAAACTGATGCTCAGTGATTAAGCAACTTCACTGAAGGACTTTCTGCCAAGAAGCCAAATTTCAGAATTTGGGGAGGGCTCAGAGAGAGATTTTTGTAAGAAAAAAATGACCATCAGTGTTAATGATTGACAGCATTTCCCATTAGAACAGCTGTCCAAACAGCCTTTGATCCAACTCAAAAAACCTCTAAGATTCAGCTCCAAAAAAGAGGGGAAAAAAAGAATCAAGACACAGGACTTGAACAATGGGGACAAGTCACAAATCACAGACTGGAACCAGGTCATACGTTGGACAACTCCTTCTGGCAACTGGGCGCAGCCTGTTATCAACAGGCAGCTGAGGTCCAGGAGGCTCACCTTGGTCCTTCAGTCCGTCGTGATGCCACAAGGCCACTGGCTGCGAGCCAGGTCTTCAGAAGCACCTGCAAGGTGGTGGGAGGGGAGAGGGCTTCTCTGGAACACTCTGGGAAAAGGTATTTGGGGAGGCTGATGCAGCCTTTGAAAGTTGCTTTTCAAGTGTGGTTCAAAGAGGGAGGCTTTGCTGGTGGAAAAACATAGCTCCTCAGAAGTAACTAATCTACTAGATGCAGACGCAGCAGCTGAGACAAACGGGCACAGAGGTCCCGCTACATTCAGAATCTGTGCTACCAACTGGGCGCTGGGAATAACATCTGTCCTGCGTCTCTGTCGAGATTGTTAGACAAATAAATGACAGAAAACGAGATAGTGGGGGGCAAGTGTAATTTCCCAAAGAGCAATCTGTTCCCCGCGCCGTAGTAGCTCCCATTCGCACGCTCGTCTCCTCATTAATGCAGGACCTCTGAACATCTCGGTGGAAGCCGAGGAGTCTAAAAGTACATCTCCCTAACCACGGCCTACCAGCCACATTTGCTGTGACTTGAGACCATGGTGCTCCTTGACCATCAGCACTGAGGTAGAGGGACAGAGCCTGCTCTTGGCTCTCACCCCTCAGCAACCGCCTGCTGCTGGGCCCATCAGCACCCAGAGTTCATCCTTGGTCATTTTGCTTCCTGAGCTGACTGTGCTCAACACAGTCAACAGCCACCCTGACAACCACTGTACCAASAGAGCYTCTTTTTTTTTTTTTCTCCTTTGTGTGTTTGCACATGTGTGTGTGAGCATGTGTGTGTGTGCTGGGGCTTGAACCCAGGGCCTTGTGCATGCAAGGCAGGCACTCTACCAACTG